GGTCTTGCTTTGTTGCCCAGGCTGGTCTTGAACTCCTAGCCAATGATCCTTCTGCCTTAGTCTCCCAAAGTGCTGGGATTACAGACATGAGCCACTGCATCCGGCCAGTTTGGTTCATTTTTTTATTCAGGTAGTTCGTTTTCGTATTGCTGGGCTTTAAGGATTCTTTGTTTATTTTGGATAATAGTCCTTTATCAGATATGTATTTCACAAATATTTTCTCTCAATTTCTAGCTTCTTTTTTTATTCTCTTGACAATATCTTTTGGAAAACAGAAATTTTCAGTTTTAATGAAATCCATCTTATCAATTCTTTCTTTCATGGATCGTGTGTTTGGTGCTGGATCTAAAATGTCATTGCCAAACCCTAGATCATCTAGATTTTGTTCTGTGTTATCTTCTATGAGTTTTAATATTTTTGTATTTTACATTGAGGTATGCGACCCATTTTGGGTTAATTTTTGTCTAAGGTGTAAGCTTTGTGTCTAGATTCTTCTTCTTGTTTTGTTTTTTTTTTTTAAGAGATGGGGTCTTGCTGTGTTGCCTAAAGTGGCCCGAAACTCCTGGTCTCAAGAGATCTTTCTGCCTCAGCTTCCAAGTAGCTGGGACTACAGCCATGAGCCCTGGATTAGATTTATTTTTCTTTCTTTTTAGGCATGTAGATGTCTAGTTTTTTCAGCACCATTTGTTGAAGAATGTCTTTTCTCCGTTGTATTGCCTTTGCTCCTTTGTTAAATGATGACTTGACTGTTATCTAATTTGGTCTATTTCTATACTCTATTTTGTTCTTTTGATCTGTTTGTCTTTTCTTTTGCCAATACCACACTGTCATGATTCCTCTGTTCATTTTCATATAGAACTTGTAGCCCTTGTTAAGTTTGCTTTTGAAACAATTTCTTGTTCTTATGGTGGCAGAATTTTTACTTTTGCTCTGAGAATTACGATGAGAAGATGAGTTAGAAATTTTTTGTAAGCCTGAGATTAGGCTGTAAAGGATAAAACTATAATCCATTTCTTGGTCACAAAAGAAATGAATAAAAACTGAACCACAGTCTTCTTAGGAGTAATGTATTACAGTAAGCAATGATACCAGGGTACTGTTTTCCAGCATAATCCCTTCTTTGCTAAAAGATCTAGAAGTCTGGGCTTTTATATATATAAGATTAACATGGATGATTGGAAAAAGAAATATGGAGATATTTCAGATAACTTTTTTCTTCAGTTGTAATTTTAAATGATAGATAGTTCATTTTTAAGAAAATGTTTGGTTTCTTAGGAAATACTAACCTACCTAGGTTTCTAAGCTCAAGCAATTTGGAGTATATAGCTAGATGGCAGCCTTTGAGAGGATTTCAAGGACTTTAAACATCAGAAAGCAAGACTAGCAAACTAATCAGAAATGTGAGGACAGTCGGATCTATTCTACAGAGTGTCCCAAAAGTCTCCATACGTAGTAGTCTCCATACAAAGGAAAAGTTTTGTAAAATTTTGTAATGAATATTTTGTAAATAAAGTACATTTAGCTACAATTTCCCATTTTCCCTGTGTATGGTGACTTGGGACACCCTGTACAATTTAAGTTATATACGAACAAAGATCTAGCTTATTCGTCACCTCTGCTGTCTTTAGCCTTTTTCTTAAACTCAAGACCGAATATTTGTTGACTCAGTGAATCCCTGTTTTTGTTTGCTGTATCATCAACTGTCCTCTCATCAGGTTGAAGTGTTACCACTTTAAAAAAAGCACTTGTCAGTTTTATAGGTGAAAGTAGTGTCTTTTAATTTGTATTTTTTAATTATTACTGAAGTTTAAAAATAGGTTTATTAGTCATATGGATTGAATTTTTCGAAAATCTGTGCTATTTAAATATGATAGTCACTAGTTCTATGTGGCTGTTGAACACTTAAAGTGGAGCTAGTTTGGATTGAGATGTCATATATGTAAAATATACTCTGGATTTTGAAATCTTATGAAAAAATGAATATAAAATATATCAATTTTTAATATCAGTTTCCATGTTGAAATAATGTTTTGAATATATTGAGTTAAATAAAATATGTTATTAAAATTATTTCCACCTGTGTTGCTCCATAAATTAATATAACTACATTAGAGACAGATATGGTCTCAGGAGTTTTGCAGGGTTTTGCCCTGAAGGAATATGTGAACATGTTAGTTTGCATATCAAAAGCTGATCCACCTCAGGAGGGCATCTCAAAAGGTCAGTAGCAGCTGCTTTCCAAGGTGACTACTGCGGTCTCAACCCCATGGTTCTCACCTGCTTTGAAGGACAAAGCAAGGTCTGCATGGAACCACAGAATGAGAGCTGATCAAAGAATGTCCGCTCGAGATACAGAGAGACAGATACCAGCGGCTAAAAATAATTAGCCCAAAGGACAGTTCCTGCTTGACTTCTGATGACCTATCCCTAACTGCAATAACTAGTTAAAGAAATATGGAGCCAATATATCTCTGTTTAACCCTTCTGTTAAGTAATAGCTTTATCTTAGAACTTAGAAGTTTGCCCTTGAAAGACTTTGTAACCAGAGTTAGTTAAGGGATCTATAGAAGCCTTTTGAAAGACTTTTAACCTAAAACAAACTACCTGTTATTATGTAAATCTGTTGCCCCTGGCAACCGATCTCTGTGCCTATAAATGCCCATGTGAAACTTTATTCTGGGCCCTATGATTAACAGGGATATCGTAGGGACCCTTGAGTACCCCCGCTTTTTGTCTATTATCTTTATAAATCTATAAAACTATATCTTTGTCTCTGTGTATTCTTTTATTTCTGTTATTTTCCATTTTCTATTATTTTCTTATCTTTTGTAACGCCCCCTACCTAAAGGACCAGTTTTTTGCCGGGAGCGTAGCTAAACTCCCCGCACACCTTTTTCTTTTTATGTTTTTGATGTGGCTACTGGAAAATGTGTATTTACATATGTGGCTAGCATTATATTGGGCAGTGCTGATCTAGATAGTAATCTAATCTTTAGGTGATTAGGTTTGGATTAGTATTTATGGAAAAGAAAGTAGGGAGGACTCTTCAAGAGATTATGCAGTATGCATATACACTATATAATCTCTATTATATTCCAGGATATTTTACAGTTTTTGTGTGCTTCCATCATGGCTTTGTAATAAATCATAAGCTTTTTGAGGGCAAAAACTTCCATTTTCCTCTATATCTTGTCTTTTTCTGAGTGCATAAGAAGTTGATTGAACAAATAAGAAATAGGATATCAAATATAGAAGCTCAAAGCTTGAATTTTTAAATGTAAGTGATTTCTAAAGTTCCTACGCCCTTTATTTTAATATTACAATATCACCAGCTAATCAGATTAGTCATATTGTTTTTAAAAGGTGCAAGAGTAAGGGAATTAACATCTAGTCTTATATATGCCAGGCTCTGCATAGTCATTTTATATCCTTTTTCATTTAATCCTTATAGTAAACTTATGAAGTAGGTATCAACTATCATTTTGTAGATTAGGAAACTGAGACTGAGTAAGTTTTTTGATGTTATGTTACTAATTTAGATATGCCCAATTTCAAAGCTAGCACTTGTCCAAACTGGAGGTTTCTCTTCTATTAAAGTTAGCCAGTTATTTTAAGTGATTTGAAATAAGTCTACTATTTAGGTTAACATGAAGTAAGTGAAAAATAATCATTAGAATGAAATGCATAATGATAAATTTTGGCATGTATTTCATGTTTAATAAAAAAGGAAATTTAGAAATATTTCCTAAAACCTGAGAGGAAGGAAAAAAGGCATATTTCTTTCTCATTCTCATTTCCTTTGTGTATTGTAATTCTGGAAATTAAACTGTAGTTTATGGAGAAAAATAAAATTGTAATGGTTTTAAATATTTCCTTTATTTTGTCTTTCAGATAAAATCAAAGACAAAATTAAAGAAAGAGACAAAGAAAAAGAGAGAGAAAAAAAGAAACATAAAGTAATGACTGAGATCAAGAAAGAGAATGGAGAAGTAAAAATTTTGCTAAAAAGTAAGTTTTATTCAGTAATTTTAGTTCTCCTTTATTATACTGTTAAGTATACTTATTGCCTAAATGAATAAAATAAGAAATGTTATTTGGTGTTGAATTTTGCAGAGTATATATTAATGATGAGGAAATAGAAAGTAAATGTAATAATAATGGGGAGTTCTAATCTGTATAGTAACATCTTTAGTGTATTTATTTAGTGAATCATTAAAAAGTTATGAAGGTTAAGCTTCATTAAGCTATTACATTTCTTAAATTCTTTTAAAATAAGTTATCTAATTTTGTGTTTGTATTCCTAGTCTTTATCCATATTTAAATATTCTAAAACAAAAGGAAGAAATTAAGAAAAATTACTGAAGCAATTTTTAGCATGATAGGGATGGTGAAAGAATTGAGGTTTTTACAAATATTTGACTGAGTAGTCACCATGTTGTAGTCTAGGATTTAGAGGGAACATTTTACTGTGAGCTAAATCAGAAGAGTTATGTTTCTTACATGTTTAAGAATATCCTCTTTTTGTTTCCTATTTTTCTCTATTGTTAAAATTGCATTCAATTGCTGTTTTATATTCGTGGGGTTGGGGTGGAGAGAAGAATTTTGGGGGTAGGTGGTTGGATGATAAGTATAATACAGAAACTATTAATGAATTTGAACTTTTTTAGAGTGAATCTATGGTAGAACAGAAGTAAAGACAGTCTTAAATTCACTCAACAAGGTAAGAAGAATCAATAGCATTTGGTTGCTAGATAGCTAGCAAATTCATTAGCTGTCCTATCAAGTTGACAGTTGCTGATTAGAATACATTGACCTTGATTAACTTTATATTGAATTTATGTGTTGCTAAGTCTTTATATCTGCATAAGGGAGAAAAGGCCACAGCACTACATGTGCAACAAAATAACTGGTTAATTTATATTATTTAAGATAAAAAGAGTATTAAACTCTATGTTTTCATTTCATTCTTTGTCATGTTTCCAGATGTTCTTTGGTGCCACCTTATATAAACTCTATTTTTTACATGTCAGAACTCTGTTTTCTATGATATTCTTTCAACCTCGAAGAAACATTTTAGAGCTTAAGTTGATGGCTGCTTTGTTAATGGTCATGATCCTTTTGTTCTGTTCCTTTTTCCAGTGTGTTTTATCCGTGTTGTCTAATTAGATTGTAAGCCTTTGAGGAAAGAATTGAATCTAACCACACCGGTTCTGTACAGCAGCTAATGATTAATGATTTTGTTTATTTAGTTGAATCAAACAGTCACTTTTTTACTGATTTAGTCAAATAGTTCTTTTCTTATCTATTTGAATGTACAGTGATGTAAATTTCTGTCACTTGAGAAAGAACCTGTCTTAGAAATACTTACAAAAAGCTCTTACGTTCTCTGTTGAATACTAGATTTCTAACAGTGTGAATTATGTGAATGTAGAGATTATACATGCAAATAAAATTTAAAATAGCCTAAAAATGGAGGTTTTCTAAGAATATACAATATTAACCTTGACTTTGAAGTAGACAGAAATTTAGGAGATATTTTGAACTGAGTGAAACTGAAACTAGTGATCATAAGAAAAAGAATGAGGTAGATTTGGAAATGAATTAGTGAGTTCTGGGATGACCATGGAAAAATTTAGGGGGAGATGTATTTACAATGAAGGTAAGTAATAATTGCTGCCATACAGTGTTGTGAAGATTATATGCAAGAAAGTATAGGATAAATGCTGAGTGTAGTATCTGGCTCACAGGTAATCAATAAGTGAATATGAATCTTTTTTGTAAACACGTATGAAAGATTAACTTTTTTGATCAAATAGCAACAAAACCAAACTGTGTCCTCTCCTCAGCATGTATTATATAAGTCATTAAGTGAATAAAAACATGATCCATTTGGAAAACAGTGCCTATCCCGTACAAAGCAATGAGTGTTAGCTATTATTATCCAGCCGAAACAGTTTGCTCAGCATGTGTGGCCATTTCTCAAGCGAGCCTCTGGTCAGGGAAAGGCCTCCTTTGTTGTTGGTGTCCTGGAGCAACAACAGATTCAATTTGATGGAATGTTATACTTTTATTTACTACTGCGTGCCCCCTTTTACTTTATGGCCTCCAGCTTTTATTCTTTACTTATAATTTTTTCTTCTGATAATTCTAATGTTGTAAGCTGTTGAACACACAGGCATTGATCGTTTGATGATGGCATTTGAAAAATCTAAAATAGATGCTAACTCTGTTCCTCACCAGTTTCATTTTCTCCAGGTTTTTCTTAAAAATTGTGTCAAGTTTTTATATGACTAAATAGAGTTAATATACACAATTCTATGCATGCTAAAAAGTTTTTTATTAGTGTAAGAATCTTGTAAATATTTTTTCAGTGATAAAATTGGATTATTTGCCCTTTTAGAAATAGTTTAAAGGAATAAGTAAGTTTGAAACATAAGCTTATTTGGTGGGTCTCATCCCCCCCTTTTTTTTTTTTCTGAAGACAGAGTCTCACTGTGTTGCCCGGGGTAGAGTGCCGTGGCGTCATCCTAGTTCACAGCAACCTCAAACTTCTGGGGTCAAGCGATCCTCCTGCCTCAGCCTCCCGAGTAGCTGGGACTACAGGCATGCGCCACCATGCCCGGCTAATTTTTTTTTTCTA